TAATTATTGTAGATAATAAATGATCCTACCGATATGTGACTGGCAAACGGGTTTCCAGAGGGAGACTCATTACTGGAAGAAGAAGAAATTCTTAATTAACGTTTTACAATTTCAAATATATTTACCCAAATTTATTCTGACTAACGTATCGAACAATATTTCTATATGTCTATGTTATAGGCAACTCCATTCACATCAAAATTATACATTGAAAAATATGTTAAAAAAAAATCTTCTTTCCACTTATAACTGTATTCTCGAACTGTAAATTGAGTATTTACGCATCAGCAAAAAATAACTTGTATGTAAGACCAGAGAGTCGAACCGTAAAACGAGATTAACCGGTATTTTTAACTGAACCGGAACGAAAAAAATTTCAATACTACCCGTTGTATCATAAATATAAAACGATAATTATTTGTATAATAAATTAATTATTTTGTAATTGAATAATTAAGAACAAACGAATAGAATTATTTCTGATAAAAAATCAAGTAATCTTTATATTTATAAAAAAATTATAATCACAAAATACAATTAAAAAAAAAACTTTGAAGGTCGACAGGCTAAATGCGAGCGGGTTTCCAGAGGGAGACTCATTACTGGAAGAAGAAATTCTTAATTAACGTTTTACAATTTCAAATATATTTACCCAAGTTTATTCTAACAATATTTCTATATGTCTATGTTATAGGCAACTCCATTCACATCAAAATTATACATTGAAAAATAAGTTTAAAAAAAATCTTCTTTCCACTTATAACTGTATTATCGAACTGTAAATTGAGTATTTACGCATCAGCACGCTAGTGCGTCGCAAAAAATAACTTGTATGTAAAACCAGAGAGTCGAACCGTAGAACGAGATTAACCGGTATTTTTAACTGAACCGGAACGAAAAAAAATTTAATTTTACCCGTTGTATCATAAATATAAAACGATAATTATTTGTATAATGAATTCATTATTTTGTAATTGAACTTGGGAATAATTAAGAACAAACGACTAGAATTATTTCTGATAAAAAATCAAGTAATCTTTATATTTATAAATCCATACCAGTGGTTTCCAAACTTGATGTTACTACGCCTTCCTCAAAAGTATGTAATCATTTGGCGCCTCCCCAGCCCCTCCATTTCATAAAAGGAACGCGTATTACAGCAATATGGATAAGAGCACAGGAATGTATCTATACTTGCTGGATTCCCCAAACATTCAGCTTTCATGTGCACATATTTGATTCATTCTATGTATTATAGTTTTCGAGAAAATCAATGAAATGTGAAAACACTGCTATTTCGAGCATTTTTTAAACTTTGAACGCGAATTACAGCCAAACGGATAAAACCACAGTAATATATGAATACTTGCTACATTCCCCAAACATTCAGCTTTCATATGCATATATTGGATTCTTTCTATGTATTATAGTTTTCGAGAAAATCAATGAAATGTGAAAACACTGCTTTTTCGAGCTTTTTTAAAATTTTGAACGCGAATTACAGCCAAACGGATAAAACCACAGAAATATATGAATACTTGCTACATTCCCCAAACATTCAG